TGGATGCAGTTGTCAATGAGCTCTTAGCTGAAGAGGTTCACCTTAAAACCCTTTCTGGAAAGGGTCTTCTTCCACTACCAAATCAGACTGTCTTGACTGCTCCTTCCAAAGTGACCCCTAATTCCCAAAACAAATATCGAGGTCGAGTTGCTTCTGATGAGTGTAGCTTCTGTCGTGAAAAGGGTCATTGGAAGGCCCAATGTCCAAAGTTGATAAACAAGAATGCACGAGGATCTCAAAATCAGTCATTTAAGTCCAGAGATCGTCGTACAACGGCCATAGCACCACCAGTGAATGAGTTAGCTTCATCAGCTCCCAACCTGACTATGCTTGCAGATCAGGTACAGAAGTTTTTCTCTCTTCATCAGTCTGGTGCTCTCACAATTTCTCCCACTATAGGTTTGTTCAGCTCAGGTCTTTCAGGTATATCTCGAACCGCCTGGGTCTTTGACTCAGGTGCCACACATTATATGACCAGTGACTCTTCTCTGTTTGCCTCTATTGTTTCTCCTCCACCTTTATCTGTCCTTGCTACCAATGGGTCTCACATGTCATTAGCTGGTGTTAGGACAATTATTTCTTCCAACCTTACACTTTTAGATGTCTATTATATTCCTCAACTTACTTCGAATTTTCTTTCAGTCAATCAATTATTTAATTCTGGATTTTTGGTTCATTTCTCTTCCTCTGGTTGTGTTGTGCAGGATCCACGGTCCAAGAAGCTGATTGGGACAGGCCGTAGACAGGGTGGGTAATATGTGTTGGAGGAGCTTCATGTCCCAGATGCTAATGCTACTACTTCTATTGTTAATTTATCTTCTTTTCGTTTGAGTCCAGAGTCATCTAGTTTTTATTTATGACATTATCGTCTTGGTCATGTTTCTTATTCTCGTTTAAAATTTTTAGCTTCGACTGGTAGTTTGGGTAGTTTAAAAAGCCATGATATTTCTGATTGTAGTGGATGCAAGTTGGTTAAATTTAGTGCATTACCATTCAATAAAAGTGTTGTTCTCTTGCACCATTTGATCTTGTTCACTCCGATATATGGGGACCGGCTCCTATTCCTACACAAGAAGGGTCCAAATATTATGTTTTATTTATTGATGATTACACGAGGTATTGTTGGATATTCTTGATGAAACGTCGGTCTGAATTCTTTTCCATTTTCACTATCTTTCGTAACATGGTGTGCACTCTTACTTTCGATGTGCTCAGGGGGTGAATATACTCTTACTTCTTTTCATGATCTGTTGAAATCTGATGGTACACTTTATCAATTTTCTTGCACTGACACACCTGAGCAGAATGGTGTTGCCAAACAAAAATATCGACATATTCTAGAGACAACACATTCCCTTCTTTTATCAGCACATATTCCTAGCTCATTTTAGGGGGAAGCAGTTTTGATAGCAATTCATTTGATCAACACCATTCCTATTATGCTCACCTCTGGAGTCTCTCCATTTGAAAAATTATGTGGTTAGTCGCCTAACTATTTTTCTTTATGTGTATTTGGTTGTACCTATTTTGTTTTGCTCCCTAGTGTTCTTCGTAGCAAACTTTCTGCTCGTTCAACTTTATGTGTATTTCTTGGTTATGATGAGAGTCAAAAAGGGTATCGTTGCTATGATCCCATTACCCACAAACTTTATATCTCTCGTCATGTTGTTTTTATGGAGCATGTTCCCTTCTTTTTAATTCCATCTAGCTATTCCTCATTGAATAAGTTTGACCTGCTATACATTGGTCCCTTTCTTGCTAATGTTCCTCATGATACATATGTTAGTGATATACCTGTGTTAGATCCTTCATCTTCTAAGTTGCCTATTACTCGTTCCCTTATTGTGCATACATATGTTCGCAGGACTCCAATTATCTCCTCTCCTGATGCAGTGCCTGCACTTTCTCCTCCGGCCGCCCAATCAGGTTCAGACACTGTGGATCATACCCCACGCTATCCTCAGCACTCTCGCAAATGTCCAAACAGGTTTGGTTGGAGTAATACTTGTTATTCTTCTGACTTTTGTTTTTTCCTTACTTCTATTCATTCTTTATCTGAACCTTCCTCCTACAAGGAGGCTTTACTTAATCCACTTTGAAAACAGGCTATGGATGAGGAGTTGTCTACCTTACATAAGACTAGAACCTGGGAGCTAGTGCCTTTACCTCCCGGTAAACGCACCATTGGTTGTAAGTGGGTTTATAAGATAAAAATCAAGTCGGATGGTTCTCTGGAACAATATAAAGCTCGATTAGTAGCAAAGGGGTTTGCTCAGGAATATGGTCTAGATTATGATGAGACTTTTGCTCTTGTTGCCAAGATGACTACTGTTTGCACTGTGATTCCAGTTGCTGCAATTCGACAATGGAGTTTGTCTCAAATGGATGTGAAGAATGCATTTTTACATGGAGATTTGACTGAAGAGGTTTTTATGACACCTCCCCTGGATTATCTTATAGTTCTGATCAAGTATGTCGACTTCATTGTACTTTATATAGTTTTAAAAAGGCTCCCAGGGCATGGTTTGTCAAATTTTCTTCGGTTATCTGTGACTTGGGTTTTCGCACTAGTGACCATGATTCTGCTCTCTTTTTACGGTCTACTTTCTCAGGTTCTATTATTCTCTTATTATATGTTGATGATATGATTATTATGGGTGATGACACTGCTGACATATGTTTATTGAAAACTCAGTTGCAGAACCATTTTGAGATGAAAGATTTGAGACAGTTTAGATATTTCTTGGGTATTGAGATTGCTTCCTCTCCTAAAGGATATCTTCTTTCTCAGTCCAAGTATACTTCAAATGTTATTGAACAAGCACGTTTATCAGATAATCGAACAGTTGAAACACCTTTCGAGCTCAATGTTCGTTACTCTTTTTCTGACGGTACTCTCTTGTCTGATCCAACCCTCTATCGGACTATTGTTGGGAGTTTAGTATATCTTACAGTCACTCGTCAGGATATCTCTTATGCTGTTCACATTGTAAGTCAATTTGTTGCCTCACCTACCACCGTTCACTAGGCTGTTATGCTTCGCATTCTTCAGTATCTCCGTGGTACTTTACTTCAGAGTTTACTATTTCCTCACCCTTCTTCTATGAAACTCAGGGCTTACTGTGGTGTTGACTGGGCTGGAGACTCTATGGATCGCAAGTCCACCACTGGTTTTTGCATGTTTCTTGGGGATTCTCTTATATCCTGAAAAAGCAAGAAACAAACTATTGTTTCCCGTTCCTCTATGGAAGCTGAGTATCGTGCTATGACATCTACTACAGCTGAGATAGTCTGGTTACGATGGCTCCTTGCTGATCTTGGCATTTTGGTATCTTCTCCTACTCCTATGTTCTACGACAACACCAGTGCTATTCAGATTGCTCATAACTCGGTCTTCCATGAGCGCACAAAGTACATTGAGATTGATAGTCACTTTGTGCGCCATCATCTGCGGCAAGGCACCATCATTCTCCCCTTTCTTCTTTCCACAATGCAGATAGCGGATTTTTTTACGCAGTCTCACACCATAGCCCGTTTTCAATTTTTTCTTGGCAAACTCTTGATATTTTCCGCCACATCATGAGTTTGAGAGGGGGTGTTAAAGTATATATAATAAGGGTAGTTTAGGCATTTTCTTTATGTTATGTTGCCCTACTATATAAGGGCTACTTTGTTTATTTCTAGGTTAATGATGTTCATTATAGACTTGTTTTTTGCCTAATAATATAGTCATTCTTTCTCTTCTTCATTATGTATTGTCATTGATTAAATCTATCAATTACAACCAGATTACTGATCAGCGGATATGGAGGTTTTGACTGAACCACATTCCATTGACAAATCTGACAAATATTGAGACGGTGATGATTCATTATGCAAGCTGAAAAGAAATAATAACCTTCTTCCACTACTATCACAAATTTATATATCTTTATGTGAAACCATATTTCTCTTCCTATTCTTGGATAGCATAGTCCTTTTTCCTCCATTATGGCAACTAGAAGTTGATTGTTTGGACAAATATATTGTAATCCAACTACCTCTGCTTTTTTACCAATGTGCAACACTAAAATATGGGGATCTTCCTTTTTTTTTTTCCATATTTCAAAGGGTTTCCTTTCCTTAGCATAAATACTGGCAGTAAAACTTTTGGTTAGTAAATGATTGGCCTACATTTCGGATTTTTCCACTGACAATAAAACCACAAGACATTGTCTATTATAGCTTTGCAAGTCAATTTTGGTCATGCCAAATAAAAAATCAACTCTACAAGCTTTTCACCTTGATAACAAATAAGATATTTCATTATTAAATAAGACCATCAGAAAGACATTGACAAATTCCCAGAAACAATTATTCATGAAATAATTAAGTGGAAAGAACGAGAGGCATCTGTTTGCACCTAGTGGAAAACCCTCATACTTCCACCCATCATTAACGTTGTGAGACAGTTCTCACTTCTCAAAACAGATATTAGATTTCTTGCTTCTCTTGTGCTCGTCATACTTGTTAACATTCAAGTTAATCACAAAAAATAAAAAAATCTCCCCATCAACATTCAACACCTTCATATAGGGTAAGTCTATCGCACCAAAAGAGGTATCATACTGAATTATAACTTTTAAGCAACAAACTACAACTTAAAAGTTATAACTTTTAAAAAACAAACTATAAATCAAAAGTTATGATCAATCATAAAATGTTTTAATCGATCACGAAAAATAAGAGTCAAAGTTACATCGATCATAAAATTCTATAATCTACCACAACATTTATAATCAATCACGAACAATCTCAATTAGCTATAATTCGGCCCTTAATATTGTATCTTAACCCTCGAATGTCCTCAATTTTCATACAAAAAAGATAGCTTACACATTCAAATTTGATAGTATAATGCATTTACAAATTGAAGCACTACTCTGATGGGGACTCACATACATACATATACGCATATTTGAATGCAAATTCCAAATAAACACAGAATTTACCGGTATGCATTACATATCTGAAAGTTCACTAAAATCAGTGCCAGAAAAATGGGAGGCGGAGAAAATGTGAAGAAAAATATTCACCTGCAGAAATTGAAGAGCTTTGGCATCTTCTTCAAGATTCCAATCATCATGCTATAAGGAAAAAAAACCATAATAACCAACAGTAAGCATATGCACAAATTACACATAGGTATATGCGGGCGGAGAGAGAGAGAGAGAGAGAGAGATTACAACGTCACCAACGACGGCAATGCGAACAGAAGTCGACATCGGTAAGTGATTGTTGTTGTTGAGCTGCGACGATGCAGGAGAGATAGTGGTGAAATATGAACAACGTAGAGGCGGCGCGTGAAGCCACGAGCTGCCGATGAACATAGAGGGTAATGTTATGACTCTTCTTTCACGCGCTCATGTCCAATTTATCAGCAAAAATCAAACCAAACCCAATGACCCGACCTGGCCAAGAGAAATTAAAGGGCAAAAAAAGCCAGTTTATATATATTATTTGTAATTTTTTTAATAATATTTCCAAATAATGACACACTTGAAGAGCATTGGAAAACACTTGAAGAGCATTGCACATTTGAAATTTTTATTAGGGCTCAAATTATATGACACAAATTAAATAAATTTAAATCAATTGTCATATCATTTGAACTCTAAATTTAGTTTTAAAATTTGATCAATCTAGCATTATTGATTCTAATCACACTTACTTTTTAACCATAATAAATATTTAAACCATAATAAACACGTTAATCATGGTACACAAAAATAGAGGTGTTAAACATGTCGGTTTAAGTTATTTTGTGTCTGTTTGAATTTGAGTTTGTGTCAAAAATTCTAAAATCTGAATATAACCTGTTTAATAATCGTGTCGAGGTGTATAAACACTAAGCTGACCTAGTCATTAAATGAGTTACTCAAACCTGACATATTTAACACGTTTAATAACTAAGTAGTTTTTGGGTTAGCACACATAACATTACATGTTTAATACGCATAACCTATTTCCACACATATTCATTATCATTAAGTACACCATTCAATCATTCATCAAAGGGTTAACACACATAGTATGACATTTTTAACACATATAACAAGGACTTGTTTAATACACATAACATGTTTTTCGACATGTTCATTACCATTAAATACACCATTCAATCATTCATCCAAAATTACAAATAATTTTTTGATAAATAACATATCACATCTCATTAATAAAATTAACTAAAACACATTCAAATTTCAACACAAAAATTAAAACAAAAACTATACTAGTATATTGTCATAATAATATTAAAAGTTATACTGTCAGTTATCATAATAAAAACAAGAACTTATAAATAATAATGCTAAGATCACGTTAGTCATATATAAAAGACAAATTATACTGTCATAAACAAGTTAAATTTACAATAAATTAGGTCAGTTTCATATCCGAAGCATATTCTCATCTATCCCATTCTATACTCAAATCATACACACCTCGAATGGGCTCCGCCTCAAAAATTTAAAAAACTCGCAGGAGCCAGAATAGTAGCACAAGAACTAATGAATGAGGTTCTTAATCTGTATGCTGAATTCTGTGCAATTAAGTCTCATCCTCTTGTAACCACTGTTCAAGCCGCAGGAGGTCCCAAGCCGCACACTCATGCCTGGTGCGAGTGCTGGCCATACCCCTATGCAAGCAAGGCGCCTAAGGCCTCCACTTGTCTAGGGCCCGTTTGTGTGTATTTCATAAATTATATTAATAAATTTTAAAAAAATAAAAAAATAAGATATTTTGTGGATTAATCAAGTCAAAATTGGATTAACCTAATTTTGACATGAACTTTTTTTGTATTTAAGTGTGTTGACCCGTTTTAACTCATTGACTCGTTTAATTTTATATCTAACCCATTAATTTTTTATTCAGTTCATGTTGTGTCGAAAATTGACAACACAACACAAAAGCAGAATATCTTAGTAGTAAAATTTATTTAGAAAACTTACTAAGTCTTTTTCACACCCAAAGAGCAATTAATTAGTATAAATTTTCAGGAGAAGTAATAAATTCTTTTTTTTTTTTTTAAATTATTCTAAACAAGTATACAATCTACTTGATAAGCAAAACAATATATGGTGCCAAAGTTAGAATCTTACAATAGTTAGCTCTCAATTGTGGTCAAATTACGACTTCAAAAGATTAGTTATAACTTAATTGGATCAATTTAAAAGTTTGAGATCAGCTGTAAAATGTTAAAGATTGATCCTAAGTCCTAACATTATCCTTATGTTTTAGTTTTGAGATGGTTGATCTAGGGGAGTCGTAGAAAGACCGTGTTGCGACATTAGACATATTAGTATTAAAGCCAGCACATCTATATTTATATCTATGCTATTAATAAAAGTAAATTAACATGATAATTTTTTTGATTCACTATTTTATCCTTACAAGAAATTATAAAGGCTAACATGTCATTTTACATTTAAATATATAAATTACCATTATATTCATTTATATTTAAATAACAAACTAACCTCTAGCATATCATGTAAATTTTTCTATTTTTGCAAAACTTTTTGATGGTCATATTACTCTTAACAGAATATATAAAAATATTATTCTTATTTTTTTTTTCAAAATTCCAATATTAATACTCGTCAATAACTTTATTGATATAACATCATCTCCGATGTCAAAAAATTTGATATATGTATCTTTTTTTCTTCATCCATAATACAAACAATTTAAGTATTATAAACATGAGATAATATTTAATTTAACAATATAATTAAATTTTTATGCATTTTATCAAATGTTTTAACAAAAACTTTCACCAACGTCTCTATTTTGCTCTTATAATAGATTACAAAGACTACTCGATCTTTTCACAATTAAATATCTAAATTATCATAATATTTTTATGTCTTTAAATCTCTAAATTGTCTATATCATCTCTTTTAATTATCTATTTTATATGTATAAATATCAGTTTCTATAAAAAAATTTGATTGACTATATTACCCTTAAAAATATGCATCATTATATTTTTAATAAATTGTTCAAAAAACCTTCAAAAACTCCATCAATCTAATATTATTTATTTCATATGCAAAAATAACATTATGTCTACAAATGTGTATTTGTTTTTTTATCAAAAAGTTTAACCCTTTCATTTCTAAGATAAAAAATAATCATATATATATATTTAAAAATCAATTTATGTTATATTAGTATAATTCTTNTATATATATTTTTAAAAATCAATTTATGTTATATTAGTATAATTCTTTAGTCACAATAATATTTCTAAATTATACTAAAATTTTATGAATAAATATATATTGTAGTGTATTTTTAAGTAAAACTTAAATTTTTTAGAATTTTAATATGCTTGATAATATATATTATAGAATAGTATATTAAATCATATCCCAATCGACCTAATTAATTCCTACTTACAATAAAGTTTCAACGTGATTAGTATATTGACAATTACTTTTTATTTTATTCAATGAATTATAAGTGGAATCCTAATCAAAAGAATTTTAAAAAATTGAATTTCTCAAATATCACTAAAAATTCAATCTCAATCATAAAATTCAAAAAAAAAAGAAAATAGAACTTTAACTATTTTTTTTTATCTTTTTTAATTGTTAGATCAAAAATTTTTGGTAACATATAAAGTTTCGTAAACGTATAATAGAATGAGCAATGAAAAATTAAGATTGATAAATTTTAAATATCACTCATATACACATACACATAATATGTTTTATTAGTTTTTGTGTACGAAAACTATTCACGTGGAGATGCTGTATTGTTAGTGATGATGCACAAAAATGTATTTATGCACAATTAATCAGTTGAGTGTGATATAAAATAATTAATGAAACAATTAATAATAAGAGATCAAGATTGAGTAGTTGAATCTGGTTGATCTAATCACTGAAAGTGGCACCGATAATTAAAGAACTTTAAGTAGATGACTTATAATTTATAAGCACAAAATCTTAATTAAGGCGGTGACGTGAAGGTCATGCTACTAATCTTTCGAAGAGGATAACTATAATTAAGCATAAGTACTATTTTCGAGTAATGACTATCTCAATTAGTACTCCTTCACTTATTGACTCTTTTTGAATTCTTGAATTTGGATCGAAAGAATAAACTAAGTCTGACATGTGTTTTGATAATTTGGTCTCGACCTACGGACTAGGTCAGGCCTAGGCTGAATCTGGCCTCTAATCATTAACTCATATCTACTTCTCTTTCCATAACCAGTTAACAACCCATTCTCTAACAACATTGGCCTAAAATGCCATCAAATTGAGTCCTAACCTCTTATTTAAATTTGAAAAGCGAATATAAATTGGGTTAATCTTAAATTGCATTTTGAAAGATTATTTGAATTTTAATTTATATCTTTAAAGATAAAAAATTTTAATTTACATTATTAAAAATAAAAATTTATATCATTGCACACCTCAAACTTACAGTTGCCGGTCTAAAATTAAATAGATAAATTATACCTAGACTGCCTCATTTATTACTTAATCACATAAACCTTTTACATTTTAAATATTATACCTACATCCCTTGAGAATCTAAATATGATTAAAAATGTTCTCTCAATTGGACATTCGAATAATTTTGTTTAAGTGATATATTGTATTGGATATAAAGAATATTATATAAATACTTGCATTATATTAAGCATTCAAATGATAAGTTTGATTTTGAATTTTAGTGTATAATAGACCCACAAAATAAATGGTAGTATGAAATTATAATTTTTTATTATGATAAAATTATATTTTTTAATAGATATATTAACAGATATCAACGATAAAGAGTTATGTGTTACATGTGCACAAACGTTAAGAGATGTAGGAATAATATTCTAAATGCAAGCATGAAGGGATTTAAGTATAATTTATTCATTTAATTTTAGATGGCAAACTGCGGATGTTAGTTTCAGGTGCACAGTGATACAAATTTTTATATTCGAGAGGGCAAATTAAAAATTTTTATCTTTGAAAGTACAAATTAAAATTCGAAGGATCTTTTACGATATAATTTACGATTAACCCATATAAATAAATCTTATTGAGACATCCTATTTACTCAGCAAGCAAGAAANCTTTATCGTATTCCACTTCTTCTATCTAGCATTTTAAATGTATTGGTCAATAACATTACATCTCAATGCCATGTGAATCGGTGGTCAATATGGTGACCTTGAAACCACACTTTCGATCCTTTATGGTGGTAGCAAATTATGTATTTCAGAAGGCAATGATTGGATCTTGAGTCGGAAAATTTGAGAANTCATCGTCCTCATCTTTCCACTCTTATTTCTTCTGCAACTTTACTTCTCCACTGCACAAAATGTTGTTAAAGCTGCCTACTGGTTCCCTGACAGTGGTCTGGCGGTATCTGATATAGATTCAACCCTTTTCACTCACCTATTTTGTGCATTTGCAGATCTTGATCCCCAAACCTACCGAATTACAGTTTCCTCCTCAAACAATGCCCAATTCTCTCAATTCACAAAAACTGTCCAACTTAAAAACCCTTCAGTTCAAACCCTTTTGTCAATTGGTGGTGGAAACTCTGATAAGGCAGCTTTTGCTTCAATGGCAAGCAATTCTGCTTCTCAGAAAACTTTTACCGATTCATCGATAAACTTGGCCAGATCTTAAGGATTTCTTGGTCTAGACTTGGATTGGGAACACCCTCAAACGGCTTCGGATATGGTCAACTTGGGCTCACTACTAATTCAATGGCAATTGGCAGTGGCAGCCGAGGCAAAAAACTCCGGCAAGCCACCGTTGATTTTAACCGCGGCAGTTTCATATGCACCAACAGTTGATGAATTGATTTATCCAATTCAATCCATGTCAAGTGTCTTAAACTGGATCAATGTCATGGCCTATGACTTTTCTGATCCAACCCGGTCAAAATTTACTAATTCACATGCTGCATTGTACGACTCAATTGGTCAAGTTAGCGCGAGCTATGGGATTGGAGCTTGGATTCGAGCAGGAATTACTGCAAAGAAGCTAGTGCTTGGCATGCCATTGTATGGATATTCATGGCGTCTAGTAAATGCTAATAACCATGGTGTCTTGGCACCGGCGAACGGGCTGGTTGGTTCGGACAAGGGGGCCATTACTTACCAGCAGATCAAGGCGTTCATAACCCAGAACAGGGCCACAGCTGTGTACAATGCTACAATTGTGTCGGATTATTGTTATGCTGGAACAACATGGATAGGTTATGATGATAAACAAACTATCTCTACTAAGGTTTCTTATGCTAAACAGAAAGGATTGTTTGGTTATTTTGCGTGGCATGTTGCAGATGATTACAACTGGGCGCTGTCCCAACAAGGTTTGTGTGAATTCTGCCACACCATTTTATAGACTTTTAAATTAATGGGTTCAGATCATTGACTGGGATCGATACGACTTTCCATTTCGAATAAATCACAAGTGTCATGTGACTTGGTCAAGTCATCTAAGATGTCTCCAATTCAACCCAAAGTTGTTTTGGGTTATCATCATCAGCCGATGCCATGATATAGTCTAATCCTTTATCGTATTCCACTTCTTCTATCTAGCATTTTAAATGTATTGGTCAATAACATTACATCTCAATGCCATGTGAATCGGTGGTCAATATGGTGACCTTGAAACCACACTTTCGATCCTTTATGGTGGTAGCAAATTATGTATTTCAGAAGGCAATGATTGGATCTTGAGTCGGAAAATTTGAGAAAATTAGATCCAAATAGTATTATTGTGATCTAATTTTGTGTTTTTTTTCCCTGTGAATGCAGCTAAAGAAGAATGGGGAGCATACATTTGCAGATTAGGTGTGTGAGCCAGATACATTTGCAGATTTGCTTATGAAGGTGAACCAAAATAAACAGGATGGTGAAAAAATATGTAGTAAAGTCAAATGAGGCAAAGCGCTGAATAAAATTATCAAGTTTTAATTATGTCAGTGTTTTTTTGGTCCATTTGTTCTCTTTTTTCATTACTATTACTATTTATATAATAAAGTAGACAGTATTTTGAATCCCCAAACTTATTTCAAGCATTTCGTGACTCAGATCAATTCTAAAGAAAAAAGAAATTAAATATTACGAATTATATTATCTCGAATTTTTCATGTATGAGATCACTTCAAATTTATTAATTCGACGAATAGAGTGTCCTTTGATATTTTGGTTTGGTATTGGTTTGAAAAAGATAGAACCAATTCCTTTTTGGATTGATTGGTTGTGATTTGGATTGATGATCCATTACAATATTTCACGATCAATCATTAATTTATATAATAAAACATAATATAATTCAAATTATAAAAGATAAACAAAATAATTTTTATTTTTCGCGGTTGAGATTTTTTTAAATTTTACATTAAAATTAATTTGATCGTTAATGTTAACATCCTAAATTTAATAAAAAAAATAGATATTTAAATATGTATTTAAAGTGATTTTTTAAAAATATTTTTAAAACTTATAACTTCTTCTAAGTACATTAAAAACAAAGTAGTGTTTGAAACTGCCCCACCATTACCACGCATCCCCTCCCAAACTGCCCTACCACCACCAAGGCCACCCCCACCGGCACCCTACCACCACCTCTATCGCAACCATAATTACCATCACTGCCACCACCATTCCCACCGCCCCACCACCATCATCACCACTACCACCACCCCTATCACCCCCCATTGCACCACCACCCCCCCCCACTGCTACAACAACGATCACCATCACCATCACTGCCACCACAACCATCAACACCATCACCACCACTATTGCCACCACCTAACCACTATTTCTGTCATAACAACCACCACCACCACCACTACTGTCATCCAACCACTATTTCTACCACCACTATCACCTCATCACCGTCGCCGCCACCCCACAACCACCATCGCCCCATCATTACCATCCTTACCGCCAACCCACTACCATCATTATCACTTACTACCAATTGCTACTACCGTCATCCACTGCCACTACTCACCACCATCGTCATCTCATCTTTTTATTTATTACCACTACCACCATCATCTCACTACCACTGTCAACACCACCAACCATCACCCGTTGTTGTTCAGCATCGCCACTAGCCACTATCACCCACTCCTACCACACCTCCAACCACCACCACCTGTCATCGCACAACACTGCTACCGCCTACTGTCACCTACTCTCACCACACCTACCACTACCACCACCCATTACATTGTCGCACAGATGCACCTGTCGTCGCCTACCACCACCATAGTCACTACCCACCACCGTCGTCCCCTCATTACCACCACTATCACAATCACCCACCATCATTGCCAACCAAAACCCAAAACCATCATCACCGTTGTTACTCATTTCTGTCACCACCACCACCACCACCACCATTGCTACTGCTCACCTCCATTACAACCAGTACTTAAATTATTTTCTCTCTTCTCTATAGTTGAGATTTGATTTTGATTGTGAATACAAATATATTAATTGTTGACCCATTTTTTTCATTATTCCGTATCTTCAAGTGCGAGCAATAATTAGTATTCTACTGTTTAAAATTACCCATTTTCTTCCCGTTCCCTATCACCCTCTACAAATTTTGCAACACATGAATTTTTCTTGTCATTGATAAATTCATCGTCTAGTGAAACTTCTATTTTTACCGTATAATTTCATTGTAGTTGGACTGTCCAGTTTCACTATGCAAAACCGCTACCTTTTCTTAGTAAATCTAATCAACTTTATTAATTATACATTTTATATATTCTAAATTCTAATTAGATCTCTCAATTAAATTAATTCTGTTTCCAAAAAACACCAAGTCTCATTTAAGTTCATCAATTATGTCAATTAATCTACCAATTCTTTATTTTGCAGCTAAGAAAATTAGTGTTAATTCTAAATAGGTGTGACAATTGTTGACACAACACAAAAATACGACTAGAAATTAACACGAAATTAGCTGGTTAGAGTTAACAATTTATCGATACAAACCGATATATGACATGACTCGTTAACACGAATAATAAATGAGTTGAGTTAGTGTAAAAAATGAATAACACAAAATTGTCACGATTAACATATTTACATAGTATTATAAGAATAAAATGTCAAATTGTTATTATATTTTATCAAGTAGTGACTTAATTCTTGTACAAAAAAAATATATTTTTAATTATTTTTATTATTATATTTATTAAGTTAATTTTTAGTTTATAGAAAAAGTATAAGAATGAGTTCAAATAAGTGATAAGGAAATTTTAGACATAAACCTGAGCGTTAGATTTTTTTATTTTTGGGTTATATGGGGCAACATGAATACAATACGAAAATAAATAAATCGACATANTTAGATTTTTTTATTTTTGGGTTATATGCGGCAATATGAATACAATACGAAAATAAATAAATCGACATGATACGACACAATTAATTAAAGAGGTTGAATTAGGGTTGACTAATACTCGACACGAACGCGACACTACAACACGTTGGCCACCCCTAGGGACTATGTTGTTTTGTGGGTTTGGGGGGAATTGGTGTCCAGGGTCTGGGAAAAATAATTTAAAGAATTCCTTATGTTTGAATTAAAAATTCAATTTTTAGTTTTCAAACCTGACTCCCAACTAGCCCAAATATTAAGCTCATAATCATATGTTTCGTCAAACCTAGAGAGGGGTGGGTTTGAGAAAATGGGTTAAGGGGTTGAGAATATAAAATACAATTATACTCTTTAACATGAATATAAATTTGATTGATCAAAGGGCAAAATAGTGATTTAAAGATTAAATGCTTGTTAATAATTATGATATATCCGTGTGACCTACATATATATGTGTTACATTTCAAACATGAGTATGAACTAGATTTAATGTTGAATCTTATATTTGTAAAGAGTAATTTAAGTTTGAAAGAATTTGGAGAAGTCAATTCAACCCCTCTCCAAAAATCTATTCAAACAAACCCCTAATGTTACACGTTACGCGACTTGACCATTGCCATAACAAATCACTTTAAAAAAACTAATGTAGAATCTTGCCTGTTGAAATTCTAAAAAACTAGACTTTTTTATCGCTTAATCTTTTATTTNAAAACTAATGTAGAATCTTGCCTGTTGAAATTCTAAAAAACTAGACTTTTTTATCGCTTAATCTTTTATTTGGATAGAAAAAAAGAGAAACTTACGCTACCGAAAATACCATACCGGTATTACAAGTTTTGTAATTTAATTTTACAACTTGTAAGGGTCATTTATAAGTTTTAAGGATTATTTATAACATTTGAAGTTCATTTATAACTTTTGAGTTTACTTATAATTGATCCTAAAATTTAATTTCTAAAAAACCCATAAAATTTATAACTTGAACAATAAAAATTAAAATATGATCTCAAAACTTATAAATTTTATTTCATAAACAAATTTAAATATTTATATTTCAACCATCAAAATTTATAAAATTTGACACTATGGTACCTAAATTGTTAATTTGATACCTTCGTCGACCCCTAACAAAAAGTCGTGTGATAGTACGCCCAAACGATGGTAATGACTCGACAGTATATGAGAACTCTTTCCTAAGTTCAATTCCAAGCAATTAGAAGGAATGAGAACCAATTGACTCACCCCTATAGCCTCCATGACCAGAAATG